AAGAGAAGTATATACAGCAACACAATTTGGTTGAAATTGGAAAAAGGAGTGGAGTCAGCAGGGAAGCATGCACGTGGCAGGCATGGGCCGCGCCGCGCGGCGCGCACGCCACGCGGCGCGGGGAAGAAGGAGCGGAGAAGGCAGAGCGGAAGAATATACGGTTGTCATTGGAAAAAGATTGGTCAGCAGGGAAGCATGCACGTGGCAGGCATGGGCCGCGCCACGCGGCGCGCGCGCGCGCGCCACGCGGCGCGGGAAAGAAGGAGTGGAGAAGGCAGAGCGGAAGAAACAGAAGTAAGTATACAGCAACACAATACGGTTGTAATTGGAAAAAGGAGTGGAGTCAGCAGGGAGGAAGCATGCACATGGCAGGCATGGGCCGCGCCACGCGGCGCGCGCGCCACGCGGCGCGACGCGGGGAAGAAGGAGCCGAGCAGGCGGAGCGGAAGAAAGAGAAGCTTCTACTAAGTATATTTACACCTGTGAAAGCGAACGCCTGTAAATTGATGGTGTGTTCGGCAAACGCTCGCGTTTCTTCAAACGCCTGTTTTTTTATCGGACCCCCTGAACTTCAGGGCAGGGGTCCCTGAAGCCCCGGGGTGCTTCAGGGCAGCATCCCTGAAGTCACGCAGCCGTCCAGGTCAATGGGCTGACGAAAGCATGTTTTGGCCCGTGCCACATCGATTAATGCGGGGTTATGCTAGCTATAACATACTTTACGTAGCGTTTCTTAAGCTTCGAATAGGTGCAAACCGGGGGGGTTCCTCTGAGTACTTCCGTTTAGGTCGACCGATTATAGATCGAAGCTTCCGACTCTAGCACCGTTGGCACATATGCAGATCTTCACTCAGCATAAGGGAACAAGTAGAGTCTATAGCGAAATCCTTTGACCGAGCCTTGCTGTCATGTGCTTTCCTGGGCTTCATCAAGCTCGAGTACTTGCGGCAGGGCTCAGCTGGCATGTGTTCTGGATTTATTTTTCTGGCTCCACGCCGAATTCAACGCGACAGGTCGATCCAGTGGAGCGCACCAGCGGCTTCGCGATGAGCAGCCTGGCGGAGAGGTGTGCCCACCCCTTCTGTCTGCTCAGCTCCGTGTGGGAGTTATACATGCAGAACATGCAGGTTTCATGCGTTCGGTGCATACACATGTCTACAGAAAGGGACGATCGCAGTTGGGGTTCAAGGTCAGGGCACACAGATGTCGTCCAAACTTAGCTTCCTGTCATGTTGCAAAGCCTGGGAACGCCACCGAATCCTGCGCAAGCGTGCGCGATCGCGAATGATGCTGCTACAAGACGTCAAAGGCAGGAGCCACGTTAGCCCTTCCCTCGACAATCTGAAGGTCAACGAACCAGTTCTCAAGCCGTTTACCAGAGCTATGGCCGAATCAGGCCGAATATCGAAACCACTGAAGCTGATCAAAGAAGCCCTTGTCAAGTTCTATTCTGGAGAAGGTGAGGAGATGGAGGAGACGCCTGAGACCTCGGAGATGAAGCATCGAAAAGAACGGAACATAAACAAAAGCGCCAAAGTCATCCTTTCAATGCTGACTGTGATCAAACGAAAGTGGTCGAAATGGGAGCTCCCACGTGTGACATGGACATGATATGAAGGTTTTGTTGTGTATCATGATGCCTTCATTTAAGTACGTGAGGCTTAGATGGTAGGTGTGTGCATGCATATACAACATACCATGTGTTCCCACAAGGATGAGGCCATTCGCGGCATGGTTTTGGATTTGGCAGAGGCTGTTTCGAAAGCTTACTCTGATTCTCAGTCTAACAAAGCATAGTGTTCTTTTCAGGCGGTCGTTAGATGTATTGCTTTTCCATGTTTGCAATTTCCCAGTGCTGCTTGATTGATTGCTGGTCCGCTTGCTCAATCCAGGAAGGCCGCTGTGCACTAAGCAAGTCGCCCCGGCAGGCTACAGCTAGTCTCGCTGAAAGCGAGCTTTCAGGCTCTGAGATGGACGACGACTCGCTCAGAGCGGATTTGCATTCCTTGTCAGCAAGCTCCAGCGGCCGAGGCAGCACTCTAGAGTCTTATTTGACGGCCCCCCCTCAAGAAGATCTGGAACGTTTGCTCGGCTTTTCCTTGGATCCTGCTGTTTATCGCAACCTCAAGAAAGCTGCGGAGAGGCCGCCTGTGGAGGCGGCCCCACGAGCGGAGGCCGAGCCGGCCCCTGTGGATGCAGCCCCTCTTGAGTCAGCCCCTCTTGAGTCAGCCCCTCTTGAGCCAGCCCCTGTTGTGGAGCCAGCACCCCCTGCGGAGCCGGAGCCGGCCCCTGCCAGCTTGTCGGTTGGCTCTCTGGCGGAGGCTTTGAAAGATGAGAGCCCAGCAAAGCCCAAACCTCCCCTGTCTCCTGGAAGCCCTGTCGAGCCTTGGTTAGGGAAGGAGTGCGAGCATATTTCTTTCATATCGACATGCATGATTCTTTGTTTCATGCCTTGGCAGAGTTGTCTTGCTTGTGCCAATTGAGGAGATTGTTTCTTTCAGGCCTGCCCCTAGGGCTGGCATGCCGAGAAAATCCCCAACAGGGTTGGCCGCTCAGCTGTCCGGGATGGACCCGGCAAAGCTCAAGGAGATTCTGGCTGTGGTGAATGCCAGGTAGCGTCGTTGCAGTGGTTGGTTCGTGTGGCTTTTGATGATTGATTGTGAAGGGTTGCTTGCAATCATGCTTCTAGATCGATGGGTGCTCTAAGGCTGAAGGCAGCGCCCAAGGACTTCGATTCGGGAATTCCAGATCCGGCGCGACGCAAGCTGTTGTTCGATGCGAGCTCCGATGGAGAGCTCTCGACTTCAGCCGGGAGTACAGGTGAGACATTCGAAGTTTCATGAGGGTCGAATTGCTGTCTGGATCATTTCCATTATAAGTAAATTCGGTTGCCAGGTTCGTTATCCAATCCGGACCACGTGGAGACCCAGGCCTACACTTTGGAGCCCGAAAGCTATGTCGAGGCATGGCTCTCGGACCAGCGCGCTGAGCACGCAGCCAGGGTTGAGGCGGCACAAACTCGTGAGCGGGCTGCTGCGGCAGCCGAGGCTCGGGAGAAGGCTGCCCGGGAGGCCGAGCGCTTGAAAAGCGAGGAAGAAATCCTGGCTCAAGCCAAGAAGGATCGCTTGAAGCGGGCAGCAGCCATGCTCCAGGAGGAAGATGATGGACCAGTCACGAAGCTAAATTTGGTTTGGGGTGGCATGTCATCCAGCTTCGCATGTGTATAGGAATCTATATACCTTTCTAGGGCCACATGGACCTCAGCTTCACAATCATGTGGGCCCGGAGAGTATGTGTTGATGTGGCCCATGGTCCTGTGATTTGACATGTTACCGACGTGATCTCAGGCTGCAATGGTGCTCACACGGCAGCAACAGATGGGTTTGTCTGCCGGCAAGAAGGGCAAGTTGCCTGAGAACGACGGGGACGAAGATGAGCCAGCTGAGGATCCGGCGGAGGAGTTGTCCAAGCCTAAACCCAAGGCTAAGGGCAAAGCCAAAGCCAAGGCGACGGCCAAAGCAAAGGCCAGCGCAAAGGCCAAAGGAAAGGCCAAAGCAAAGTCAAAGGCGAAAGCCAAGGCTTTGCCAAAGTCCCACGGTGGGGAAGAGTGCGAGGCTCCGGAGCCTGAGGGGGATGAAGATGAAGAGCCGGCTGGTGATGATGACCAGCCTGCTCCTTCGCTCCTGAAGCGTGCGAAGCTGCTCAGGAAGTCGACAAAGCGCCGCTTGGTGTCCAAGGGCAAGAAGGGCAAGAAAAAGGTCAAGGCAGCAGAAGATGTTGATCGTTGGACCGAGTATTATGGAGATGATGACATGGGTGGGCAGAAGGACGACGAGGGAGCAGAGGAGGAAGCTCCTCCTGCTGATCCCCCTGCGAAGCCTGTTCGTGGGAAGAAGCAGAAGAAGATTGCCGAGCCGGCGGAGCCGGAGCCAGTGGAAGAGGAGCCGGAGCCAGTGGAAGAGAAGCCGGAGGAAGAGGAGGAGAGCCTCCCCACGTTTGCCCGTCGATATTGCCCGGCGCGCCCGCTCTACAGAGCCAAGTGGATGGGGATCAGGGAAGCGTTCCAGGTCCGCATCAGGCCCTTTGTGAAGTCCCCGTGCAAGCTCGAGGACTCCTCTACTTAGTTCAGACATATTCATGCGTGCTCCAGCTGCTCTTTTGAAACTTGTACATGAACAAAGGATGCATGGTCTGTAGCCATTTGCGGTGTGCAGGATGACTTCTGGAAATACGTCGCCCAGGCTACGAAGTACGACAAGATTACGGACCCAGATGCCTGGGCTAAGGTGGCCAAGAACCTCACTTTTTCCTTTTTGATGGACGATGGTATCAGCATCTTGAGTTACATTATGTTTGTTCTGCGGTCATGCCTAAATTCAGCACTTGTCCCAGCTCCTCAACTTCCTAGGTAAGACATGGTCCAGTGACGGGGAGGAGCTCTTCAATGGTAAGAAAAGGGCTACCCCGAAGAAGTACGAGGCCACGCTTCAAGCTCACTGATGTGTTTATCGAGTGGCGTGACAGTGGCGTGTAGTGTTACAGTGCAGACGGGGACCCTGGGGAAAAGAACCTCTTGCTGCACTGGACATACAAAGCTTTGGCCTCGGCCCTTGATTTTGGATGCCGGCAGCCAGCACGCACCTCGAAGCTTTTCTTATTTTAAGGCATTTGGCTGTAACTTGTCGATCAGGGAGTGCATAGCTGGATACAGCAAACCTATCTTCTTTCAGGCTCCATATGCTACAAGTGTTGGCTGCCCCTATGGGTCCATGCACCAGTGCGTGGATCCTCGTTCTAGCTTCAGTCTGTTCGATGCAGTGCAGCGCTTGCACTCAGCTTTCGAGCATGCCCGGTGAAAATGATCGGATTCAGTTGGCTGCATGTCTGCACCCTCGAACATGGTGTTTGCTTGATGAAATCTCAGAGCGAAGTTCGGCTTTGTGCAGCCGAGAGCCCATATACACAGCACCCTGTGCCATCCATCAATCCCTCCATCGCGCAGGTCATGCCATCTCGCCGTCGTGGTCCTCGCGACTGCGACAGCCAAGACACTCTCGAGTCTTCGTCAGGCACGATCGGAAGGGAAGGCATTGTGCTTCTGAGATGGACCGTTCGATTCATGTTCATGCAACTGTATCACAGGATGCCAGTCACTTGCCTGAACTTGCCATTGCCCAGAGTATCAGTGCTGAAGCTTTGCGGTTTTCAGCTCTGCAGACCGAGAAACGTGCCATCACAATTGAGTGCAGTGAAGCTAGCGCATATATGCTTTATGACCGGTCGCTCTTCCGGAGCAACTTCTGTTTCCAGCCCAACCCTGCTGCTCCTCGTCGCCATGCAGCCACTCCAGCTTGTTGAGAACCTCATAAAGCTTCAAGCTCCGAAGGCCGGATAGGGACCCAAGTGCTTCTGCAGGGTTTCTTTGGGACTTCTCAAGAACGCTTCAGGCTTCCTGTGTCTACGTCAATGTAGCATATCGACAGTTGCAATCGATTCATCTTCCGGCCTGGATAATTGATGCGAGTGTGAGCATGATACTGTAACGCACGTATTCCCGAGCCTCCTGCGTCCAATTCAGGTCTTCATCCTCGCAGTGCTGTGCCTGCTGTTCAATGAGCGCTTCAGGTTTGAGAAGGAGTGCAACTGGGTACTTATAGAGAAGCGGGGTGCGTTCTGCATGTGGCTTGTTGCTCAGTGAAGGAATTTATCTTCGTGGAGCATTACGCGGGTTCTAAAGCAATGTCTCGGGAGATTGGGTCGACATGCGGGCGATCAGCTGCATTGGATATCGAGTTTCATCGTGGAATGGACATTCTATCTCCAGCCGGCTTTGCGAGCGAGACTTAGAATTATGCTGATCTATTCAGCGAGTCTTTAACGCAAGCTGTGTACAAACTGCTATATACTGCATACATAAGACGTCGGCCGGAACTCAGGTTGCACATTCTGTCCATCCTGCACGGATGCAGCTCAGGCTTCACATTGTGGTCAGGCCTCCAATGCTCTTCTTGGGTATCTATCTGCCGAAACAGTACCAAGCGCAGTTTCCTGAATCCTCATGGACAAGAAGCCCCGTCTGTGGTCATGGGTAATCAACAGCTCTGCAGGAGACCTTGTGTTTCATGGAATTTATTGATTCATCCTAGCCGAACCTAATATGAGCTTAAACAATTATAGAATCCGCTAGTAGGGGCAAGCCCCCAAAACCCATGAATTCATATGCCTCTTGCGCCCGAAGAAGAAGCAAGCTCGCTGCCTGCCTCGGTAGGACAATACTCTTGTCATTGTTGTCTGTGGCACTGGGGGCTAATTGGATCATCGAACAACCTGGATCCTCCTTGATATGGCGACATCCTCGATTCCAGTGGTTTTGCAGGGTACATAAGGCCCGGTACGTTAAGCATACATATGATCTGTTGTTGTATTCTCTCGGTCCTTTTTCGTAGTGCCCTTAATCCAGCAAATTCCTAACGGCCCCACAGGTGTACGTCTGCAGATTTTGGATGATGCACTTTGGCCACAAGTGTCCAAAGAGGAGTGCCTTATGGTCGTCGAGCAGGAAGATCTTGAGGTTCAACAAAGGTAAACTGACTGCCTCTTCTAAGCGACGACTTCAGAAAGATCAAGGTTGCGTAAAGCCCGTGACCCGTAAGCTTGGAAAAGATGGTCGGATGAAGTTTACCGGAAATTGCAGCTTGAAGCCAACCCAGACGCATGGCCACACTTGTGTATGTGGTACGTTAAGTTAATGTCATCGATTGGTAAGTCAGACGGAGTAGCCATGCAACCCTAAACCCCTTTAAGCCCCAACCCTGTACACCCCATATCTGTGCATGTATATAGTTAGAGTTCAAGCCCCATAATGCCCGCCCGAAGCAAACCTCTCCCGGGAAAGCTCCTACATCCTATCCGAGGAGATACACGAAAGAGTTTGCCCGCGAAATGGTCGACCTCTTGCCGAGCTTCAATGAAACCCCGGCTTTGCGTGCCACATCCATGATAGATACCTCGACCAGGGATAAGCTTCGAAGTATGGACATGGGTGCAAACGATTGGTCGGATGCTGGTGTTCCAGAGCTGCTGCGGTACGTGTACGGAGCTAAGGGGTTGGAAATCCCTCCAGAATGGAGAGAGTGCTTCCCCACAACATATTTTCAGTAGCAGGTTTCCGCTAGCACTTACGGTATATGTGTGGTTGTTGTGATCATACCATGGGAACCATACAGCATGCATGCTAGCCTTCATCTTTCTGCCGGCAGACTTGCATACAGGTTTCGATGTTGCGATTGTCGGAGTGCAGTCCCCTGCAGTTTCAGACGAACATTTCGCGTGAAACTGATAATCTTGTCGAGACCGAAACCCTTGGGCTCTCCAGGTCTTCCCAATTTAATCAAGCCTAAACGCGTAGTCCTCTACCCAAAAGAGCGCATTGCTCCTTTGCGCAGGGCCCCCAACATCGTCCGGAATCTAGACAGATCCCCGTACCACAATGTAACGCGCCGGACCAAACCACAGCTCCGAAACTCGAAGCTCCGAACCCGAATACTACGCCGAAGCCCCCAGGATACTAAAGCCTATATAAACCCTAAGCCGTGCTCATATGCGCACACATAGTCTAATTAAGCCTATGGTACCTGATGTATGCAACAGCTACTTGAACCCTAAGGCCCTCGAATCCCCATACCTATTTGTCCCCAAAGCCTTATATAACCGAAGCCGTAAATACCCGAAACTCCAAAAGCCCTGAAGCCACGAAACCCGAAACCTGCCGGAAGACACCCCAAATCCTCCAAGTGTAGTTGGTCCTATGCCTCTGTGTAGCAGAACTTTGTTACTAAGCCCCAATCCAAAACCGGCTCATAAGACCTTTCCAGCTCTATCAACCCAAGCCTAAATGTACACCATAATAGCCCACACCCTTGGAGCTACCAATATCCGTAAGCCCCATATAGACTTTAGCCCTTATATAGGCTTAGAATGCGATACGATTCAGGAGATCTCCTGCGGGGAACTGTGTGCCACAACTATGCACCCAGCATGTGATCAACTGGTCAACTAATTAGCGATAGTGTGGTGCTTGTATATGCAACAGACCTATGCGATTGCCAATTAAGCTGCACTACACCGATCGACAGCTGCTGGCCGAACAGAAGCTGGAGCGAGGCTGTTTTTCAGGGGTTCTGTAAGGCTAGCTAGATGGATGCCTGCATGGTGAATACGTCACACGTAAGCGTAATTTGGCCCATCGGCGGTGCTGCTGTGTTTGTTGTCAGAGGGGACTCAAGTCAAGTATGATTAAATTATTTGCTATATAGAACAAATGCAGGGTCGTGTGTGCCTAGGTTTTGCAGGCCGGGGCTTGAGCTGCCTTCATGTAAGGCTCTAATTCCAGTCATATCTAGCAAAGCTGCTACAGCTGCTAGCTTGGTAGAATTTAAATCCCAGGTCCAATGTTGAGGCCCAGGATCATGCGCCATGTAGAGTTTGCCGGCATACAGGATTCCAGGCCGCCTTTTCCTGCAAAAGCCAATACTTTCTACCGTGCGTGCAACATTGATTCAGGGTCTCGGGGTCTGTTGTGGTTTGTGGGCCGGGATCAATCGATAGCTGCATGCTAGCCTCTCAGTGTGGTGGAGCTGGATGATGGTATCGCATGGTCTAGACCTAGCTTCTTCGCACTGTTAACAATCATTATGTCGCGGCTAAACCTGAAGCACAGTACTGCGCCGAGCTGTCAACACACACCACCATCAACTAGACTGTATAATGTGGGGTGTGCTATATAATATAGCTAGGGTGTGCAAGTCTAAGTACCAAGTGGGTTATCCTGTGCACCTCGTGTGGCTATCGCAACATACAGGTTTGAAGGGGTCGTGCCAGTCCTCCAATTGTCCGCACCAATAGCCGCTTGCAGCTGTAATAGGGACCTCGACTGATCGAGGCGTCAATTGTATACAATCTAGGAGATGCGGTTATGTAGAATTCCATTATACGATCGAATTAAGGCATGGATGCGCATTCTTAAGCCAGCCATACAATACCTAGTGCCAGCAATGCGGTATATGTACATAGTGCATGCATGCATATCATCGATCCTAGCTATTTTGTTTTATTATCATGATGGATGCATGCATGCATGCATATATGGATCGACTTCTACGTGGGTTGTGGGCTCGATAGGTTTCGCGCATATGTTGTGAATCTAGCTCGATCAATTATAGCCATGCAATCAAATTCTAGGAAGTTCAGGGTTCGAAACTCACCGGGCTCCAGCTTTGCAGGGCTTTCGGTTGTCGACACTAATCTTTGGCGGGTATCCATACAGGGGCTTGAGATTTCATGGGTTTCAGTTTTGGAGGGGTGCGTGCTTCAGGTTTCCAGGGCTGCGGGTTCATGTTGGGATGGTTGCGGGCTTCAGTTGTAGAGGGCCGTGGTGTTCGGGACACGTAAGCTTTGTAGGTTGTCGTATATATAAGCTATGTAGGCTGCAGGCTTCTCTAGGGCCGTGGGTGGGGCTTTATAAGGGCCAGCGGACTTCAGGTTTACTGTGGGCTTCGGGTTTCGCAGGGCTGTGGAAATCGGGGTTGCGGGCTTCAGCTGCTGCGGGCTTCGGGGTTTCCCTGCTACTTAGATCGAGGATCATGGGACTTAGTATAGGTATATATAGGCCAATTGGGGTTATAAGTCCCCTAAGTGGGGTTATCCTAATTAATTATATAACCCTACTTATAACCTTACGAACGAAGTCCCATGAGCCTTCAAATAGGGCATGTGGGCTGCAGGTTTAGCGGGGCTGGGGGCTTCAGGTTTAGCGGGGCTGCGGGCTTCAGTTTTCGCGGGGCTGCGGGCTTCAGGTTTGGCAGGGCATGGGCTTCAGGTTTCGCGGGGCTGCGGGTTTCAGGTTTGGCGGGCTTGAGGGGTTGAGGGCTTCAGGTTTCGCGTGGCTGCGGGCTTCAGGTTTGGCAGGGCATGGGCTTCAGGTTTCGCGGGGCTGCGGGTTTCAGGTTTGGCGGGCTTGAGGGCTTCAGGTTTCGCGGGGCTGCGGGCTTCAGGTCTGCGGGCTTCAGGTTTTGCGGGATTCAGGTTTTGCGGGCTTCGGGTTTCCAGGGGCTGCGGGCTTCAGGTTCTGCGGGGCTGCGGGCTTCAGGTTTTGCGGGCTTCAGGGCTGCGGGCTTCAGGTTTCGCGGGGCTGCGGGATTTAATAGGGTTCCGGGCTTCTGGCTTCAGGTTTCCAACATTGTGTGCTTTACATTGACAAGGCTGCGGGCTTCAGGTTGGAAGGGCTGTGGGCTTCGTCAAGGCAATCTAAAGACTTCTGCTTCAGGGTTGCGGGACTTCAGGCCTGATACCAGACCAGCGTGCTCCTGTAGGCAGCTTCGGGCTCAGATTTCGCGTGCTTTGTGGCATTTCACGCCGTTATGTAAGATACGCGTAAATTTGCGAAATCCAAACACCCACTTTTTGGCACGCAACAACCACGCTTTGCCACGCAACAGCCACGCTTTTGCACGCAACAACTGTTTCGGTTTTGGGCCCCATTTTGCGCTAAGTTTGCTGCGCTTTACGCTCTGCCGCGTAGGTGTCACTTTGTTGGCCATGGCTTTGAGCAGAGATGTGCACAGTGCTGACTCGCTCCGCTCCGGCCTTTCGTTTCTTCTGCGTGCCGCATCCTCCGGCAGTTTGGGTGATCTGCGCAGCGTGGCTCAGGAAAGCGTGTTTCATTCCTAGCGTGGACTCCATTCATTCGAGATGTTGCTTTGACCATCGATCCATTGCTTTGGTTGCTGGACCCAATACTCCCTAAACCCCATATAGCTTAAACCACGGCTAGCTTTACTTTTATATAGAAACCACGATAATTATATGAACCTCGCAGAAGCCAAACCGGCCAAACCCTACATATGCAAACCACGCCTGATTTAACCCTACTTGGAGGATCATGGGACTTAGTAAGTAAGGTTTATAAGTAGGTTATAGTTATAGGATAACCCCACTTAGGGGCTTATAACCCCAATTATAACCTATATATACTTACTAAGTCCCATGATCCTCTAAGTAGTCTAGGTAGGGATTCTGCTTTGGCAGGAGCTGCAGCAGGCCCTGGACGTGGCTCAGTGCGACGTCAAGACCGAGCCGGGGACCGACTCGCAAGTCGCATCGGTGCAGCATCAGCTGAAGCCTGTGGCTGGGTGTATACAATTGGTGGATTGCAACCTTAATGCCCTCACTTTAGCTTTGTCCACTATATACAAATCATGCAATCGGCTGCCTAAGCAATGCACTTGCGCTTCTTTAAATGTTACTTTGGCGCTACAGTATGTACTGAATTTCGGAGCAAATAGCTGATCGATCCTATGCTAGATGATTCTACCATTCTATGCCTAACGTGTTCGATCTATGGTACGTACTTATAGCCCGGAGACTCGTACAAACCCTCGAAAGAGGTAGCTGCATTAAAACTTCGATCGATCTTAAAAAGCCACGGTGCTTATCGCTCGGCCAATCTAATAAGGTGAAGATGGAACCGGGAGCAGCGCCCGTGGCCCCGACTCCGACAAGCCCCAGCGCAACCCCCTCTATGTCTTCGTCGCCGGAGCAGAGCACACAGCTTCAGCAGGAGAGATCCCCCAAATCAAAGACCGATCATAGTAGTGGCCGAAACACTTCCTAGCTATTCCGCTGAAATGCAGGAGCTGCTACAGAAGATGGAGATGCTGAAGGCAACCGTGCATGCCCAGCAGGAGCAGATACTCAAGCTCCACGATGAGAAGAAGGACAACCATGGGATTACTGTATGTTCAGAATGCATGCAACCACTCTATAGCTATGTACATGACACTACGATCGAGCCATATTGATGCTTGCTCTACATGTTCCCTCATGGTCGGTCTTGTGCAGTTTGCAAGCAGCACCTATAATCTAGATCGATGCAAGTGGTTCGCCAACAAATTTGCAGGAAGCCCAGCAGCCTCCACCGCTTCAGAAGCCAGCGCCGGCTGATCCTGTGCCGGAGAAAGCTGTGCTGCCGTCGTGTCACGCAGAGGTTGTCAAGAGCCCCGGTTCCGGTTCCCGCGGAGCCAAGCGCCCTCACCCTGTGACGCCACAGAAGCCCCAGAAACCCTCAAAGGAACCTTCTGAGACTGAAGATGCTGATGACGGCAATGGTGAAGATGATGAGGCCCCCAAGGTGCTGAACTTCGGCACGCTTAGCAAGCTTGAGAAAGAGAAGGTGAGAAGGATTTGTACGCCGAAAAGAGGTTCAGGAAACTTGGAGGTGCCAGAGAATATCTTCGAGATGTGGAAGGATTGCGCAAAGGGGCGGGATAACTTGTTCCGCATGTGGGCTAAGTCTGGAGGTGTGAAGGCGGGAATGGGCCCAAACTTTCGATCTCTCCGGTATATATAACGTACAGTCTAGACCACTATCTAGCTCCATCGCGATTGTCCCCAGGCTGTCTTCATGGAATCCCTGACGATCCTGACTCGCTCGACCAGAAGCAAGAAACTGGAAGTCAAAGGCGGCTTTTATTCCAAAGACGATATGCGTAGCGAGTTGGGGTATGCGGCGCCACTTGCAAGCAAGTTCTATGTTGACATCGATCGATCTAATTGACTGCCCCAGCTGACCTTGAGTATAGCCATATCCCACGGAAGCCGAAGCCCAGGTCGCGGATCGAGAAGGTCGTCGCCTGGGCCGAGAAGAAAGGACTGGTTCGGCGACTACGCGTGATTACATTGTATTGCTCCCAAAAACACCCTCTAAGACCTGCGTGAAAATAATGGGCTGGGCTCCACATCCTATGTATTTTGCGACCCATAATAACCCCCACAAGCTCGAAACCAGGAACCATCTGGAACAATCACTATTGTTTGCATGGGACAGTCTAAATGTCAGCATGACGATGCAACTGTGCGGCGGTCTGGAATCCTACGGGCCGCCGTCTATAGTCTATACGTGTTCCAGGCATGATTACAGGACCCTCAAAGGTTTCAGGCTCGAGCTCTAGGGCAGAAACCGTTTGTGTTTTCATCAGATAAGGCTAGTCCGAGGTTCCAGGGCAGGGGTACCTATGTAGGGCCAGGGCCTTGTGTAGATAGGGCTTCCGGGTGCGCTAGGCTAGATTGTGCATTAGGTACGGCACACCAATCCGCGAATAATTCGCAGCCTCCCGTTGAACTCATGCAACCCGACAATCCTGAAACAGAACAACTCCAGATCTGCGTCAGCCCAGAACCTGTGAGTACGATGATGAGACTCTGGAGTACTGGGTGAACACGCGAACTTCCGGAACCATGACAAAAGAAGACCTCGAGATGATGGAGCGCCAGCAGCGCTTTGAGGGCGAAGGCGGGACAGACATCAACTTCAGGCCAAGGTTGAACATGGATGAGTTTGCGTTCTCTGATGATGACGACATGGTGCACAAGGGCACGAAGGACTTGGAGGGCGATCACCATAAGAGTGCTCCCTGGATCGGGTCCTGATCTCATAGCATGCCTAGCTGCTACTATCAGACAAGCTCACTACACTCTCTAGTCAATGGTTACAATACATGGATCGGCTGCATTTCAGGTTGCGTCCCAGATGAAAGAGTACATGAAACACGTGCTCAAGGGCAAGAACTCCCTAGAGGGGCTCGTGGACAAGATCAAGGCGTCAGGGGCTGCCGACGCAAAGGCAAACCAGCGGCTTGGTAAAACCATATAGTCGTGTGACTGCACATGAACATATCTCGAGAGCCCGACTGATATGTCCAATGCCACGCGCCAACAAATGCCAGCATCAGGAGTACCAAGAAGATGGATGCCCTGGTTAAGGAGTTCGAATCGCTCTACGAGGAAATGTCGGAGGCGAAGGCTGAGGGCGGAACTTCCGGCTACGGGGAGAAGTTATCGGGCTGCAAATGTTTGGGGTCTCTGGCTGTTGTAACCTCCTTCGTCGACTTGAATTGGTGCATGGCAATTATAACACGTACTAAACCCAAACCCTTTTTGCTGCCCTTGCTTGATCAAATCTAACCATGTGCGTGTATTGCCCTAGAGCAGAAAGCCAACCGATCATAAACCCAAATGAACAGGCAACCTTGGAACGGGCTAAGGCTTCAGAGCGAGTGCAAGGCCTACTTCGTCAGGGCTCAGAAGCTGAATCTTGGCATTCATGTTTCTATGCAATGTATCGGACGCATGCCTACAGCGCTGTACTATAGATCAGTTGCATCCGAAGAAAGATAGATATTACGAACATGTACGATCGATGGATGCCTGCATGTAAGAGTCGCATGATCTGCAAAAGCACAAATCCCCAGGATGGCCAAATCTTCTTCCATGGAGGCTGCCAACAAGCTTCTAGTCAAATGAATATCGAAGGGTGCGTGGGGTCTGGTGTATTTATATAGGGCACTTTGTAGGACTTATAGCTTTAAGGATCCGGCAAATCTTAATCTGCTCGGTATGCGGCCTGAATTTAGATTTGTGGTGTGGGCGGCAGATTGGGGTGGAGGGGTCGAGGATGATAACTTAAGGGGTTCGAAATGGTTCTAGAGTTCAGCTTGTTTCCTATATAGCTGCATGTGTCATGGTCTTCCGACCCACCGTCCTGCCTCTTGGCATGGTAGCTGTGACCATGAGTTCGGAGACCTATATAAGGATCCGGGTGTAGTGAGGGGATCTGTTTTGAGCGAGATTAGTTACGGTTCAGATCCAGTTAGCAGGGTTCGTGTAGGTTGGAATGTAGCATTGCTTTAGGTGGATAAGTATCATCCCGCAGGATGGATGCAAAGGCACGCATGAGTCTTGCAGAATGCATTCTAATGTATTCGAATCTTACCGGGTTGAAAAAATAGATGCATGAAGATCTTCAGGCCAAAGGGATACGATGCGGTTTGGTCTTTGGACAAATGCTGCAAGAAGCTTCTGATAGGATTTGTGTCATAGATGGTATTCCTCCAGTAAACGTGCAGGTTCATGTCCATAGACCCTAGACCTATATTCAGTGCACTTCGTAAAGAGGATGAACGGGGCATTCGATGGCATGTCTCCCATCAAGTATTCGAGCTACACAAGCTTCCATGGTTTCCTCTCTACCTCTGTTGCCTTTGCCTCTGTCTCTTTTCGAACGGAATAATCATTTATCTCCCTCTCTCTCTCTCTCTCTCCCCCTCTCTCTCTCTCTCTCTCTCTCTCTCTCTCTCTCTCTCTCTCTCTCTCTCCCTCTCCTTGTCTGCCTGTGCTTGCTCGTTCCGGTCGACCTGCAATTCTTGTAACAACTCCTTATCTCGATCCCTCAATCTCTACACTGATACCGATCGACCTACCTGCCCTGCCCACATATGCTAGGCCCATGCAGCGGAACTGGACACCGGAGTCGGTGGCCTTCAATCCTACAGCCCCAAAACGCCACCAACCAGCAGGCATTCCAAACCCGCCAGAAAATCCTAGACTAAAGCTATCTGATTTCAGGCTCCGACAGAACCTTAAACCCTGCAAACCCTATACACCCCAACCCTGCGCAAACCCAAACCTCCACCCCGGAAGCCTTAAAAACCTCATCTTCTCCAGCCAGCGTTGATAGCAAGCCTCGGTAAGCTTTCTGCTATTTTGAGGCTTATATCCATATATGCAAGGATTAGGGGCTTAGGGTTTTGGCTTTCGGTGATCTTTTATAGGCTTGTGTGAATCTTGAGGGTTATATCCCAGCTATGACGTTACCATCATGGGGCTCAGAGGTAATATGCCTGTCAGGATGTATGGATTTGAAAATCTATGAAAGACAAGAGCAATCTTAAGCTGCCGCTACATGGCATCTATATTAGTCAAGATGGGGGCCCCATTTCGATCATTCGATATATCATTTCGGAGCGAGGCCTTTGAGCCCAAGAAAGATTGCAGCATGCCAGAGGCTTCTTTTGAAATCTACAGTTGCTGGCCGATTTTTGGTGCCTGGGGCTTGTAATACCTTTTCGACTTCAAGCCTTTGCGGGCACAGGACTCAGACTAGGATCCCACTGAGGCTAGCTAGATTGGCCTAGAAAGCATATAACCCGGGGCCCTATATAGCTACAATAGCTAGATTCCTAAAGGGTCAATATATACAACCTATATACATTTTATATGTTCTTTTCTGAGGTCGTTGCTCACGAGGGCGCGCAAGGCGGCAAAGAAGGAGAGCGCATCGTGAGCGCCCGTCTCGGTGGCGGTTTTGATTTTGGGGCTTCGCTACAGCTACAGAAGCTGTGGGATGCCAGGGGCACATATGATTCCTCTTCCTGCGAGCAAGAAAGATATATAACTAGCATCCAAAGCAAGGGTTCAGTGCTTCGTGGGTTCTATAGGTGTAGTATAGACAATATGCTGTCCATCTCTAGCAGTGCTCGCCTGTGCAGGGATCGATGTGCTGTGCGCATCAGGGGCAAATATCGCATCTGTGGAAGCCAGCGCACCGCAAGATGCCTAGCACAAACTGTGTCACACAGTACCATGCAGGAATGCAAACGAGGCTTGCATTCCGGGTTTCAGCAGCCAGTGTCACAGACACTTCGGGAGCTCAATGGGTGCATCAATCAAGCTACGCCCAATTATTGAGCTGCTCTGGCCATACCAAATTCGGGGTGCTCACATACCTTCGTACCTTCAGCTGCTGAAGCCTTCTAGGTGCACACGGCTGCATGGTCGTGTCCTTCTTTAGGCCTCTGTGTTGCATCGAAATGAGCAACATGTTCCAGGGGCTCGAGCTGAGCGATGCAGCTTGAATCTGTGAAATGTCATTCATTCGAGGGGTGTTGGGGTAAGTGGATGCTTCTCCTAGTCGTAGAAGCCGTGCTCTGATTAGTCCTTCGCTAGATGTCTGTATGCTCTATAGGATGGGAAACGCCGGACTCCAATCAGTAGCCAAAGGGATTCTAAGTTCAAAGGCTTATTAGGCAGTAGATTGAGTTATCTTGTTTTGCAGCTAAAGAATCTTGCGCTAGATTTCGTTCTTCGAACCCTAGTTGTTTTATGATGATCACACTACAAACCTGTATGAGAAACACCGAACCCAAGCCTTAGAATACAAGAACCCAGCTGGTCCCCTCATGTGAGAATCCCTGCACATTCCTGCCGATCGGTCCAATATTACTGATCTGGAACAATGACAACAACCCGTCAGGCAGTGACAACAATGTGAACATCAGCGAGCAAGTCCGTCTCATCGCTACGAAGTATGGGAAAGGTGCTGGGGCCCCAGCGCATTTGTGGTACGCCTGTGAAGCAGCTGCTTGCACTGATGCTGCACGTATGCACTTGAAAGACTCATGAGAACGACTGTGCATCGAACTACACATGGTCCTTCAAATTCCGCTAAGCTGTTTTCCAGCTGGTGCTAGTCAGGTAGCCCTGGAGAGCCCAATGAGTGATAAGCTGGATATCTTCCCATGGAGTGGATCAGAGGATGAAGCAATCCAGCAAAACTCTGATATCGATATGGCATGTTCTCCCACGTCGTGTGCCACTACACGGACAAGGGAGCCTGACTCCCCGTGCTGCTCGTCGCCAGGCCAGTGTAGCGTGGGCCTTGATCAGAGACTCATCCCCGAAACCACACTAGCATCGAAAATATTGTGGCACTGCGTGAAAACTGTCAACTGCATCCGAGAAGAGAATGGCGGCCGTTCTTTGTGCGTGTTCAAGCTCGGCCTAACTTCGAATCCACTTCAGCGTCGGCAGAGCTACCTCGAACAGAATTTTGTGTCTTTCGTGGTGATACACAAGGTTTGCCGACTAGAACTGCTCGCCATGTTGGAGATGCTTGAAGCCGCCCTCATTGCGGAGTTTCATGACAATCAGCGCTGCTGCCGAAACTATCAGCTGGGTGGGGAGAGTATGCGAAGGAAAGACTTTTCACCTCGGTTTCCGCCTCCTTATTATGCTTATTGTGCAGCTACAAAAGCCCATCTTAGGATGATCTGCTTGTTCATGCTGTTTCGTTGTCGATGCTAGAGCTACTGTCTGTGTGATTCCATACAGCCAAACTCATCGCATGCTGCCTGTGCCAGATAAAAGGTCCGAGTGTGTGACAGTCATGACGCACACATGTCCGCACAGCTTACGACACATGCTCATCGATGAGTGATTGCACGAGCTTCGTTCTACATTTATCGAACGAGATTTAAAAACTCGCTCGGCCAAGGTCCCCGCGAAAGAGCTGGTCGAGGATGCCCGCGCAGCTCGGAAGAGGGATCCTTGCGAGGTGCTGGCCAAGATTGCCAACATTGACTTGTCTAATGCAGATGCTCCCCTCTTCGAGTTGCTGCAGAAGCATGAACTGGGTTTGCCTATTGACTTCAGCTGGCAGCCAGCTGGTAATGTGCATAGGTACCCTTTCATAAAGCCCAAGGCCCTGCTGGAAGCTATGAGTGCGGAGGGCTACTTCCATCGAGTATTGGGGGTACCTGTTCACTTAGCATCTGAGTCATTTGCTTTGTTTTGGACGAAGTTCCGAGTACTACACCCTCAACACCAGATATTCCAGAACCCCAGCCTTGATTATGGGAAGCTCATTCCGTACTACTTGCATGGTGATGGCGGGAGAGGGTACAAGAAGGATCCCATCGAGATCTTATCTATGTTCCCAGCCCTTGGTAGTGGATCGCGGGAGAGATCTATTGACTTAAGTTCGAAGCGACCAGCTGAACAAGCAATCGAGCTTGGTATCAACTTGACAGGCAATTCTGCTGCAACGCGGTTTCTGTTTTCTGTTGTCAGCAGTTTGGTGGCTAAGACTGATGGCCAAATTTTCGATGATCTCATGGATATTTGGGGTCAGGAGTTGCGTTCGCTCCTGGAGCATGGGTTTCATGCCGAAGGGAGCACTTGGCGCATCGTTATTTTGGGTTTCACTGGGGATTCTCCTTTTGTCAAGAAGGTCGCAAAGACCAACCGTTCCTTTCACAATATTCGCAAGCGATTCTCTTCAACAGGCAAACAGATTGGATGCTGCTGGCTGTGTCATGCTGGACACGAGTCGCCGGAGGACGATCTTCATATCCCTTTCGAACACCTGGGCTTCGTTGGCCCTGAATGGATTCAGACTTGCGGTTTGAGTAACCCACTTCCGTGGGACGGTGCTGGGGGCGCATTGCTTCAACACATGCTGTGTGATGCTGGCGACACACCGGCGGCTTTCTTTACGGCGGACTTCTTCCACGTGTGGCATGCAGGCACAGGACAAGACTTCACGGCCAGTGCACTGGTCTACTCGATGAAGAAGCTATTTGGACTAGGAGGCGTAAGTCGCGACCTGAATGAATTGAACGGCTTCCTGAAATGCTGGCTTCGACAGTCGAAATCAAGGCTGCATTGTGGACGGCTCACGCAAGATCTATTGGGATACAGCAGCACTAGGGAGTACCCTGAGGGAAAGTGGTCCAAAAACATGGATACAGCGACGATTTCGAAATTCATCATTCACCTACTTCAGCTCCCTGAGTTCCAGGCTTCGGTTCGGGACGACGACATTTTGCAGGAGATTTTGGCAGCTGCAAAGGCAATGGAAAGGGTGATCAAGACATGCCTGAAAGCAGAGTACTTCATGTCCCCTGCAGATACGGAAGCTGTTGTCGAGAGCGGCTACGCATTTCTCATGCGATATTCGGCTCTCGTGCGCAAATGCTACGACCGATCACTGTGCTTGTTCAAGCTTCGTCCGAAAATTCATTATTTGAACCATATCTTCTTGCGGACCTATCAAGAGTGGCTCTCCAACGGCTCTGCAATCAACCCATTTGCGGAGGCGACCTTCATGAGTGAAGACTTCGTGGGCCGGGCGGCTCGCGTGAGTCGCCGGGTAAGCCCGCGCGCCGTTGCTCTCAAGACTCTTCAACGGTATATTTTCTTGATGAAGGCAGCTCTCGAGAGGGATGCTTACGCGATGCTTGATCTGAGCATGTTGGCTTGAGCGACTCTGCAGCAGCCAGTTTTATCAAAATAATTCTTCGTTTCAGTTCTTCCAAACGAATTGAGCTCTGGAAAGCTTTCTCTTACAAACGAATGCCAACACTCCAAAACAAGAAACCCCATAGAAACCCTAAAAACCTTAAGTTAAAACCCTTTAAACCCTGAGCCCTGCTCAGGTTCGCTCCTCGTTCGAACGCCGCCGCCGGCGCAGCAAAACATCGACAGCGAAAGGGTTTAGGGTTTAGTGGGCTTCAAGTTGTTCGGTTTATGGGGTTGCAGTGTTACTTGATGGGTGGCTGTATTCGGTTTTGGCAGCCCTGACTTACCTCTGATCTTCAGAATTGACGATGTGATCTTGAGAATGGGCGATGGGCGACGACTTTGCAACCCTCAAACCCTGAAGCCCTGAAGCCCGAAAACCCGTAACCCTGAAGCCCTGAACCCCTGGAGCCGTCCAACCCTGAAGTCATGGTGCCGTAAAATGTAGTTGTTTGGGCAAACGCTCACGTTTATGATAAAGAGTGAGTGCGCCTGTATTTATACAGAGGTTTGGGGTTCCAGGCAGTAATATATACAGCTGCACAATTCAATTGGAAAGATGAGAGGAGTCAGCAGGAAGCACACATGACAGGCATGGACTGCGCCACGCGGCACACGGAAGAAGGAGGAAGCAGCACGGAAGAAAGAGAAAGAAAAAGAAAGCATGGCGGCATGGACTGCGCCATACGGCGTGCGAAGCGCAACCCTTTTACCGCCGCGCGCCGCGCGGCACTCCCATGGCGCCGCGCGGCACTCCCGCCGCGCGCCGCGCGGCACTCCCGCCGTGCGCGCGGCACTCCCGCCACGCGAGGCGGGGCACTCCCGCCGCGCCGCGCGGCACTCCCCGACGCGCGCCGCGCGGCACTCCCGCGCGACCGGGCGCGCCGCGCGGCACTTCCGACGCGCGCCGCGCGGCACTCCCGACGCGCGCCGCGCGGCACTCCGGACGCGCGCCGCGCGGCACTCCGGACGCGCGCCGCGCGGCATCTTTTTTGCCCTTCGTGCAGACCGCGTATAGCACCCACTCCACGTGCCGCGCGGCACCCGTCGATCCCGAGCGCCGCGTGGCACCCGCTATATACACCCGCTATACAGGCTGCGGGGCGCGCCACCCGCCGCACGCCCCCGTCACCAATTCAACGTCGCAGCGCCCGTCCCCAATTAAACGTCGCTGCGCCGGAGCCACTGCTTTAGGCAGCGCTGCACGGCACCCTGCAGGCATCCTCCCATTTTTAAAACAAAATGCCACGTGGCACTGCCCACGTTCCACTCACGGCACGTTCCTTAAGTCAACTCCCCCTGCCACATGCTGCGGATCTGCACGTGCACGGCGTGCGCCTATAACCGTCCCCGGCGCACAGCACCCCGAAACGCGCCAACGCATGCCATGCACGGAGATCCAGCGCTCTGGCTGGGAATTGCTGCTGTGAATAAGTTAGATTGACTCGAATAACTACACTGTTCGTAGTCCTACCGAACACGTTCTCCGTCCCTTTCCCCGACACTCTGGCCCCGGAAGTCCTGGTCCTTTATCCACACACTGTCTTTACGCAAGCCTCAGCATGAGCATGACATGAAGCGGTCTTCTGAACCGACTTTGCCGATAAATGTGTACTCAAACATGTGCCAGCTCAACAAACTCTGAACCCCGTCACAAACTCTTGACGTCAACCGTTCAAGCTCAAGTCGAAGTCAACAGCAAGGGCCGTCTAAAGCTGATCTTCCAGCCCACTCACATCTCCAACGACAGACAGACCTTCAGGACTTCAAATATTATCTTGAACATGAACTGAACAGTTGGTAGTTGGTAATGCCCTGCCTGGCACGCAAACCTACAGCATAGCAAAGGCTGCAGACATCTCGTTGTCTGGTAAATGCATATAGTTGCTGGGAGCCATCTGGCTGCGACATACAGAAGAAAATGCAGTTGTAGGGAGATCCTGGCATTGAAGAGGTTTTGGTTGGAGAGTATGGCACAGGAGGCTGACGGTTGTTATTGTCACATGCATTGAGTGCCTTGCCCCAAGTTTAAGGTCAGAAGCGTACCGCAGCATGTTACAACTGGCGGCTGCAGTGTCGAGTATAGCCACATTCTGGCTTAGTTATAGCTTGGCTATCGCAAGCGCATGGCGGGACCGGGACTACCGCTCCCACACCTAGTGCTGACCCTAATAACGCCGCCCCGGTCATAAGGTTTCGGCCGCGGTCATCAGGTTTCGGGTTGTCCTATGACGTCCTACGAGCCGTGTGAAATGGGCCGCGCCGCAGTTTGCCACGGTCGTGACTGGAAGGTTGGCTGAAGTGTTCGGGTTGATCGCCGCAGTTTAGGTTGATCAGTTGATCGTTGCCTCTCCGGCAGAGTCTACTTTGCCCACTTTTGCTGAAAAGCCTGTGGTGGAAATTGAACTTTTGCTCTGCTTAGCTGCGAGCCCAGTCAATTCCTGTGGCTTGAGGGTGGATGGCGCATGCACTGTAGCTTGCTCGGAACTATTATATATGCCTCTGCTAGAGATGCACGTCCCAGGAGTCCGTCGGGCAGGATTCTGGTTTGGGCAGTTCCTTTCTTGGCTAGAACTGACTGCCGTCATTGCAGGGAAAAGACTTGAAACGCAAGTCTTGTCTAAGGTTGAAAGTAATTAATTAATCAGGTTGCAGTCCGAGCGGTCTGGCCCCCGTTTCCCCTTTCAATAGTCTTGCGCAGGAACGCCGACTGCGAGGTCTCCCACAGAAGTGCCCCTGAGGAAGCTGCCCGTGGGCCATAAGATGCTACATCACTGGCTGATAGGAGGGTCGATGGAGACTAGACTGCGGATTGTGAATTGAAGAGAGTTAACTAATTTCGAGCGTAAGGTCTACCAACCTAATGTGGTAGCTTCAGAAAATCAATCCAAAGGAGTCTGAAGTAGAAGGGCAATATTTGAATCTGTGTGATTGTAACCGGCCCTTAACTCGGCCACTGGCGGCTTCTCTACCCTATGCTTGTATGAATATTGAACTGAATCGTTCATCTGCTGGACTTGAAGGTTTAGTGGCTAAGATTCTGCAGCCATATCCCCTGCCAAATCCCTCCGCCAACTTCACTGCGAAGAACCCGAAGCCTAAGTCCCAGCCTCAAATTCCGCAAACTCAAACGTGAGTTTGGTCTCCGGATCTCAGACCCAACTCCAGACCCCCTCAAATGGGCGAGAAAGTCCCCACTCATGCTGTCCCGAAGGCCTGTGAAATATGACTTCTGTCACAAGCATCA